GTCTCTCAGGCCATGCAGGTGCACAGATCTCCCAATACAAGGGACGCAAGGAAGACAACACCAAGACATATAATAATTAAAATGGCAAAGATCAAGGATAAAGACAGACTTTAAAATGCAGTTAGAGAGAGAAAAAAGATGACAAAGGAAAACCCATCAGACTATCATCAGACTTCTCAATAGAAACCTTACAGGCCAGAAGGGAGTGGCAATGATATATTTAATGCAATAAAGCAGAAGGGTCTTGAACCAAGAATACTCTACCCCATAAGTTTATCATTTAAATTTGAAGGAGGGATTAAACAATTTCCAGATAAGCAAAAGCTGAGGGAATTTACCTCCTGCAAACCATCTCTACAGTGTATTTTGGAGGGACTGCTATAGATGAAAGTTTTTCTGAGGCTAAGTAGCTGTCACCAGAAGAAACAAAGTAGACCAATTAATTACTAAGCAGATGCAAAATCAAATCAACTACCCCTAAAGTCAGTAAAGGTATAGACAATGAATACAGAATATGATACCTAATATATAAAGAATGGAAGAAGAAGAAAAAGAAGGGAAAAAAAGAACCTTTAGATTGTGTTTGTAATAGCACACTAAGTGAGTTAAATTAGACTGTGAGTAAGAAGTTACCCTTGAACCTCTAGTAACTACAAATCTAAAGCCTTCAATGGCAATAAGTACATACTATCGATAATCACCCTAAATGTAAATGATCTGAATGCACCAATCAAAAGACATAAGAGTCACTGAATGGATAAAAAAAACAAGACCTGTCTATATGCTGCCTACAAGAGACTCACTTGAAACCCAAACACATACACAGACTAAAAGTGAAGGGATGGAAAAAGATATTTCATGCAACTAATAGGGAGAAAAGAGCAGGAGTTGCAGTACTTGTATCAGACAAAATAGACTTCAAAACATAGAAAGTAACAAGAGACAAAGAAAGGACATTACATAATGATAAAGGGGTCAGTTGAACAAGAGGATATAACCATTATTAAATATCTATGCACCCAACACAGGAGCACCTACATATGTGAAACAAATAGTAACAGAATTAAAGGGGAAAACAGAACGCAATGCATTCATTTTAGGAGACTTCAGCACACACTCACTCCAAAGAATAGATCAACCAGACTTAACATAAGTAAGGACACAGAGGCACTGAACAACACATTAGAACAGATGGACCTAACAGACATCTACAGAACACTCCACCCAAAAGCAGCAAGATACACATTCTTCTCAAGTGCACATGGAACATTTCCAAGAATAGATCATATAATGGGGAAATGACAGCCTCTTCAAAAGCTGGTGTTGGCAAAACTGGACAGTTACATGTAAGAGAATGAAGCTGGATCATTGTCTAACCCCATACACAAAAGTAAACTCAATATGGATCAAAGACCTGAATGTCAGTCATGAAACCATAAAACCCTCAGAAAGAAACATAGGCAAAAATCTCTTGGACATAAACATGAGCAACTCCTTCATGAACATATACCTGCGGGAAAGGGAAAAAAAATAAAAAATGAACAAGTGGGACTATATCAAACTGAAAAGCTTCTGTGCAGCAAAGGATATTATCAATAGAACAAAAAGACATCCTACAGTATGGGAGAATATATGCATAAATGACATATCCGATAAAGGATTGACATACAAAATATATAAAGAGCTCACGAACTTCAAGAAACAAAAAGCAAATAAGCCAATTAAAAAATGGGCACAGGATCTGAACAGACACTTCTCCAAAGAAGAATTCAGATGGCCAACAGGCACATGAAAAGATGCTCCACATTGCTAAATAGGGAAATGCAAATTAAAACCACAATGAGATATCACCTCACACCAGTTAGGATGGCCAGCATAGAAAAAACTAGGAACAAATGCTGGTGAGGATACAGAGAAAGGGGAACCCTCCTACACTGCTGGTGGGCATGTAAACTAGTTCCACCATTGTGGAAAGCAGTATGGAGGTTCCTCAAAAAACTAAGTATAAGAAATACAATTTGACCCAGGAATTCCACTCCTAGGAATTTACCCAAAGAATACAAGTTCTCAGATTTAAAAAGATATATGCACCCCTATGTTTATCGCAGCACTATTTACAATAGCCAAGAAATGGAAGCAACCTAAGTGTCCATCAGTAGATGAATGGATAAAGAAGATGTGGTACATACACACAATGGAATATTATTCAGCCATAAGAAGGAAACAAATCCTACCATTTGCAACAACATGGATGGAGCTAGAGGGTATTATGCTCAGTGAGATAAACCAGAGAAAGACAAGTATCAAATGATTTCACT